GAGACGAAGGCTCAAGGTGGAGTACCCGAACTAGACCCCCTCTTCGACCCGGGTAACTGGGATGTATCATTTGCCCTTGCAGCTCTTCGCTCATCGACTTTCTCCCACACTCCCTCCCCGTCCATCGTACACTGCAGTGCAATCAACCCATTTGCCTATCCCATAGCCACTATTCTGTGTTCAAACATTCACCCATAAAAACAAACCAAAATAATCACTTACTAGCCTCAAAATATCTGACCTACGTTGCAGCCATACTCAACGTCAAATTGATCAACAGGCATTCCTTGCTGGAACCTTGCCTACCCTCTATCAAATGTGTTGTTTCTCCGAAACACGCAAACGAGACCTCACTTTGGTAGTGCACCTCTAGCCGCCTGGGACGAGCTCAGATGTTTCATATCTCATTCTTCGGGTATACGGTGATCCTAACGCAATCACTACTAGTATCTACACTCAGCCCAACACGACTGGATTCCGATAAACGGTCGTGTGTGCGGTTATCTGGCTCAATTAAGGTCAATTTAGGTCAATGCGGTAAATGGTGTTTATTTGTTGTCCTAGCACACACCCGGCAGATTGCAGTTCTGTGCCTGAGAAGAACGGTTTTCATTAATATCTGTCGCTTCTGTTTTGGCCAGAAAGAGTGGCGGATATAGTGATCCTGGCGGGTAATATGCGTGCCATAGTTGGGCGAATAAGTCCGGTAGAAGCGCAGTGCTCACATCAAGTTACCTGGAGGTTGCCAACCGCAAGGCAATCATGGACTCAGTTGGATCATGTGGCTATTAGTCACCGATGAGAGTGCAATTAATGATTGTTGCTCATTCTGGTGTATGCAGCCTTATTCTGCTTATGCCACTGTGCGGGTCCGGCTATCATTTCGCTTTCCGTCAGCATTATGCATGCGAAAACGGAGCAGTTTCATTCATCAACTCCGACAAGTTTCATTAGTTGAAGAGCACCGAGCTGACCTGGCTAGAAAGCTAGTTGAAGCGCACGGAGATGTACATGACGAAGCTTGCTTGAAGGCTGACCGGGCGCGGGTTAAAGAAGCTACGCTTTCAGCTTTCAGAACTGTTTGTTCAAGCCATCTGACTCGATTAAATGAACACTGTATATCGTTGAAGTCAGTGGATCTTATTGTGGCTAGAAAGGCCATATTAGCAACTAGCGACTATGACGACGCACATGCGTGCGTCGTCATAGTCAAACGCCGGATATTCGGGAGATTGAGGAATAATAGTACGCCGGTGGATTTCAAACGCCGAGAAGATGGAGAAGGTTTTCGCTGTAGACAACAGCTGTGGCCTATTTCAACTGATTTGATCAACCGGTCAAAAGTAGGCAGGTGTCAGTAAAACAATATGCAAAAAGACGAACAAGCAATTCACTCCCTCAATCGTCCACTTGAGCGATGGGCCAGAAACTAAAATGAACGGTTCAGCTGGTTTCCTTCAGAACAACCGCCGGAAGAGCCCGGCGGATATGAATGGAACATTGGCACCAACCTACCATCAACAACATGACATCCGCGTGAAACATCAATTCTCAAGCACAAAAAGGCTCCTAGCACGGATAGTCTGTACCCCACGCTCTTTAAGGGTGGCAAGGTCCTGGTGAACAGTAACTGCAGAGGATTTGGGACGAAAATAGAACATCAGCTGAATGGAGCTCCTCAACCGTCATCCCAGTTCTCCAAAAGGGCGATAGAACTTAGTGCGAAAACCATCGTGACATCAGCGTGGTATCAGCGGCATCTAAGGTGTTCTCTGGCATTATTTTACTCAGGTTGACAAACTCAGGAGAGACAAACTCGTGAGAATCAAGCTGGGTTCCCTCCTGGCTGTATCCTTACCTTGAGACGAATTCTTGGACAGCGCCACTCCTTCAAACGTCTCACCTCGGTCGTTTTTCTCTCTCTAAAAGCTCCTTTTGACTCTCGTTCGTCATAAACTTTTGTAGTGTCTGGCGATCGAAGGAAACGCTTCTCAATTTATATATCTTATAAGGGCCCTATATGCAAATTCCTGGGAGCGCGTACGAGTATACGGGAAACGTTTGTATGAGTTCACCACGTCCAATGGTGTAGGAAAAGGCTGTCCTCTCTCAACCTTGCTCTCTAACTTTGTTATTGATGTACTGCTTGAAATTCTTCTTTGTGCCTCCGGAACCTTGAGACTCCAAATGCTCCAGGGTCATTCCCTCCTTGGTTCATATCCTTCAAAAATGCGAAGCATTTTAAATAACCTAAATCACTCTGTCGCACGGTTTGCCATACGCTTCTCACACGCAAAGCATAAAGTGCCACTACAAGACTGCTTTGGATCAAACCCAAGTCTTATGCCTACAGCCGAGTCAATCGATATGGTAGATAAATTTGTTTACCTCGTCAATCGTACAAGTTCCGGTAGACTGGCTGGAGATGATATTATTCATCGGGGGCGAGATGGTCCAAGTGATTAGAGCGCGAATTTACTGACCGGAAGGTTTGTGGTTCGAACCCGACCTTTGCCTCTCGACTTCCACTGTCTAGACTGAAGCGACCTGGTAGTATCCCAACCTTCGGGTGGCATGGCAGTTAGGCACCAGAAGGGTGCTACAGCTAAAAGATGTTCATCGAATCGGGAAATGCAGGACAGCTTTCGCCAACCTCGGACACCTATGGCACCAACGTGACGTGAGTTCGCCTGTCAAGGGCATAGTTTACAATGCAGCCGTGCGATCCATACTGCTTTATGGATCAGAGCTGTGGCCTGTGAGACTGTCCAATACAACTGGGAAAGTCTGTAATATTGCCAATTTTCAAAAAAACGGGCTCGTAGTGGGTGTGGTAATCACAGGAGCTTCAGCTTGACCCTGGTCGTAACGAGACTGCTAGCGTCACTTGTGCTTCGTCGCTTATGGTGGCTCGGGAAACACTGATTCGAGGGTAGCAAGCAGGACTCCGGCCTGGTAGGGGCTGCAATGACCAAATCTTCACACTCCGTCAGGTACTAGGAAAACGTCGTACGTACAAACGACACAATTTTAGTATTCTTGAATTTCCAAGGTGCATTCGACTCATTTGACCGGTCTGTTCTCTTTAACACATCAAGAACTGCCGGTGGTTTGTGAAAATAATAAGTTCTTTGTATTCTCAAACTTCCGGACGTGTGATAGTATTTGGAAAGCTCTCCAAAAGCTCCCGTACATAGAGCTTTGTCCATCAGGGATACCCATTCTCTCCAATATTATTTACTTTCATGATCGATGATATAATGAACGCTGGAACGTGTTCAAATAGTCTGTGACGAAAACCCTGTCGATCTGGAATGTACAGACGACATCGTTCTCGTTTTCGAAGAGATGTTTTTTGGATGAGCTAAGTCAAAGTCCTTTATTGTGCACTTTGCATCCACAAAGTGTAAGTTCGTGCTCGTGGATATGCAGTCACTGAACACGCCACTTACAATCCAGGGAGAGGCACTCAAAATTGTGGAGCGTTTCACGTACCGTAGAAGTTGTATTAGTTCTGATTGTATTGTGATAGTTTAGGTCAAAACACGAGTCTACAAGTTCCGAGTCGCGTTCGCTAATTTGAGACACCTATGTCGTTAGAGTGGTTTATCCCCGAATCTTAAGGACGTGTGTATCAGACTGCAGTGCGTGTAGTTTTGTTTTATGGCTGTGAGACTTAGTCTGTTTGAGCAGCGGAGCTGAGACGTCTTCAGGTGTTTGACAATCGTTTTCTGAGGACCATAGCTCGTGTGTGTTGGTGTCGGAGGATCCTCAACAACGTAATTATAAAGCGAATTTTTGGCTGTGCAACGGGTATTTCCATTGAAGAATGTGTCCAGCACCAAAGGCTGCGTTGGTTCGGCCATGTATCGTGTATACGGAATCATGGTTTGCAGAGGAGAGTGCTGTTTTCCGTGCCCAATTAAGAGTGGCGGAAGCGGAGAGGTGGCCAACCGTCGAGCTGGCAGATGGGTATGGAAGATATTACGAAAAGTTGGTGTAATCGGTGCTACTCCTTCCAGGATGGTGACCGCATTATCCCCACTGCGCCTGGCTGAAGCCGCTGCGAGATGTGGCTGATAAGCGATGTCAATTGCGTTGTTGTCAGTTTGTCTAGAATGCCTGAATGAGTGATTGTTGTAGCAAGCTAGCACCAAGTCCCTTCCCTGTCCACCTTTATTCTCTTCACAAGAAGTCTTTCAAATAAATCATGGTTTCACGGCAGCGAAGCATCAGTGTTGAGCACTCATGTCACGTTCTCGGTAATGATGATGACTATGTGCAGAGATGTCATTGTTTGGCCATCGGTGTCTCCGAAGCATTGGTTGGGTTTGGTGGGAACGCTAAAGTACGCTAGGTGGTTTAAGGAATAGGGAACTCTCCCGCGCTCGATGACCTATTCACGCTTCATAGGTCACGCTGGTTAGGAGATGTACTCCGCATACCAGAAGGTCGTCTGCCTTGCAGAGCTCTTTTCGCCCAGCCTTGCACTGAGTGGAAGCGACTGAGAAGTGGACAGTATATGACCTGGCAAAAAAGTGCGAAGCCATTAACCAGTAAACTTTGTTGGGTTGGCAACTGCCTCCTCCCCGGATGGGGACCCCGGGACTCAACTCACCAATGGCTATTGACGCTGGTGGAAATGGCGCAGTCAATGGCGCCCGTGCATCAAAGCTATCGCCTTCAATGCGTTGCTACCCTGTTCACGGAACAACTACACCTAATCGCCTCTAGGGCTTGGCTGTATGTCCTACACTCTCCTACCCTCCGGTGATCGGAACTGTGGCAGCTGGAACCATTGAGCCTATGGCACACGGTTTAAAGCTGATACGTTGAACTTTATAGTGAACCTTTTCATACTTTGTCTAGTTATAGAGCAACAGTGTACATATAGACGCCCTGTCATCTTCATGTCCCTTGACTTCAAGACGCATTCGTTTGTCTGCCGGTTTGTTCTCTGCATCATGTTTGTGCAATTCCATGGATATCATACGCTAACTTCATAAAAATAACAGTTCATCTGTAACGTGTTTTCGGTGCCTAGCTACCATACCATTCGAAGGGAGCACATGGTCTGAGATTTCGTCAGGGTTCCCAACCCTAGACAGGAGTGATCGAGATGCCGGAGTTCGGTTTGAACCATGGGCTTTCCAGTCGGCAGTTTCGCGCCTCAACCACGACTATCTGAAACCTTAATATCATACGGTATGTAGATACTTGTGGACAGTGAGGGATTACGGAGAGTTCTCCAAAAGCTTTCTTGCAAGCAGTTAAACACCAGTATGTGTCACTGTTGTCTGTCAAGGATCGTGTGTAATGATTTGCCACAAGCGGTTGTATCCGACAATTGTCTATTCTCTCCTTTTTTGTTCAGTTTCGTCACTGGTGGAGTAATCTGGGGAACTCTGGTGGATTTGCGAAACCCTTATGTTCAGATCTCTCCGAATGGGAGTATGTGGGCGAGGTTTTTATCGTTTTTGAAAATGAGAATGGAGTGCACGTGTTACTAGAAGGAGCCGCTGAGGTCATCCAGCCAGACAACATTTGCTTCACATCCACAAAGTGCAAATTGGTTCTGTGAGACAATCATGACAACCGCTCAGCTGTAATGCCCTTTCGGTGCACTTCTGCCACGCCACCCGAACGAAGCACTGAAGTTGAGATACTGCCAAGTTGCCAAAACCTAGACTGGAAGAGTCGAAATGTGGAGGTTGTGTTCCAACCTCGGTTCGTCAGGTTAGCGCCTTAACTGATGAGCTATTTCGAGCTCTTAAATTTAGTATCTATGTGGTGAACCCTCAGCTATCACAAGCCGGATCTCTGGCCGTGTAAATGGCAATGCTTATCTCGTCCCACTTAAGACTGATGAATCCTGATAATGCAACACATACAAAAGCTTTTGGTGCCTTACGAAAACAGGATTAGCAGTGCCTACGCACAGCGCGTGGTTTTGGGACTCCATGGACGAACTAACCACGCCCAGTAATCAACCAGAAGCAGCAACATGAGTGTTGATAGTGATGCCTCACTTCCGTACAACCACAAAATTTATCCAATTATATTTATACCCTTGGAGTGAGAAAACAGTAGAAGAGTAGCTTATGCTAGCTCATCGCAAGCGTTCTGAAGTGTCTGCACCTCCAAGTGCTCAAGAAAACAATTTAGAAAGAAGCTGACATCACGAACGCCGCTGACGTCGATCAGCCACCGTTTCTGGGGATGTCTGCAGTCAAGCGCGGGAGGAGTCACAATACCAACGACACTCAAACTCTTTGCTGTCCCTTTCACACCCTTCTGTCAAGTCACACATTGCGGCTTGCGCCGTTCTGAAGGAGATACGGAGAACAACACTCGTCTCGGTGGATGGTTTTTGGGAATGCATAGGACGTGACCGAGCCACTACGGGTGA